TCAATGCACGGACGGAAGTAAATTTATTTCGATTACCGTGTGTGCCTTCAGTAAGTTTGTAGTGTATACCTCGATAGAAGACCAAACCATCGATACTGTAGCAAAAGCTCTGATCAATGATGTGATTTCGAAACACGGGATCCCAAACGAAGTTGTTTTGGATCGTGGCTCGAACTACACTAGCGAGGTATACTCTAAAATCAACAAAGCACTCGGTATCAGAAATACATTTACTACTGCTAATAACCATAAGGCTAATGGGCAAGCCAGAAAGGACTGGTAAAGGTGATCACTGACTCCCTAACAGCGTATTGTTCGGAGGCAAGGCACCAATGGTCAGATTTTGTCCAGCCTATTGTTTTCGCATACAACTGCAGTAAAAATGCGACGACAGGTTATAGCCCGTTCTTCATTGTTTATGGTAGGTATCCAATAACATGGAGTGATATACTCCATGAATTGCCTCAGCGTCATATCATCGCATCAGATGATTTCGCTGACCAATTCGCGGCCGGTCTAAACAACATCATAATAGAAGTTGGAAACCAGATTACAACGAAGTCGTCATTCTACAAAACAGGATATGATTTACTACACAAGGTATGTCCAACGAGCATTTCCATTGGAGACTTAGTACTTTTACATGACGACACAGTTCGTCCAAAACTAACAAACCAATGGAAAGGTCCGTTTAAGGTTGATTCTATAGATCGACCAAATATTACAATAACTAACCTTGTAGGTCGCCCTGTACGACAAGTGTTCACGTTAATCGCTTAAAATTGTATGCTCCTCGTTCTTTGTCGGATGATGTTTTTAACCAAAACACGCAAGCACAACCATTGTCGCAAGTATAAGAAAGATCATCTGCCGAAGAACCACAACCACTAGAGAGTGAGTTCATAAGCTACATGTTTCGCTGCTGTTGTTTCTGCATACACTGCTTTTCATAGCTAGGTCCATGCGGCGTGAAAGGTTTCGGTCCCACTGCCGACCACCGTGAGTACGCCCCTCCTCCTTCATCCAAATACGACCCCTTCGTTGGTACTTGTCACAGTAGGTGTACATAGGGTTGACCCTGGCGGATACCCCAAATCCACTAGTGATCAGGTATGTACCTCGGTTTCCGTAGCGAAAAGCGAAAAAGGTAACCTTCCTTCCCAGCGATCCACACCCCAGCGCTGAGAAGACACCTGAATAGAAAGGGAACGGATATTATTGTCAAACTTTATTGAGAATAGTCATGACAGCGGAACGGAAATTACGAATTATTATGACACCGCAAACGAAGTCGAAAAACACCCTACAAAAACCAAACGGGACGGAAATAAGGAGCACAAGCCCTCCATGGGTCCTTCATGCGTACCGTACTCCGTCTACCAAAACCGAACAACAAACTAATCAAAACGCTTCTGTGATTTGACAGCTCAATAGCACCTATCTAGATCGTTGTATGAATACCCCCATTCACTCAAACCCAAATGTGTAGCCCATGAGCCTTTTGGGCTCGTGCTGATGGGAGCTCACACCTAGCGTTTCGCTGACCTCGACAACAATACACAACAAACCACTCAACAATGAATTTGGTTCAGCAAAAACATCCACTGAATGAAAATATTTACTAGCGTCACACGAGTTCGTAAAAATATTCTAAGTCAGTACAATTCCGGGTGGATGCATTGACAAGAAACCAATCAATAAAAGGGAAAGCCAAGCAAGTTGGAAAATTGCAGAATGACAGTAACCGTTCAAAATCAATGATTTACACAAGACGAGCACATTCAGTATGAACAATGACAGAAACATATCACACAAACGCTATGAAAGAAGACTACTGATTAGCGATCAAAACTAAGGTGGGATAGAACTCGACGACGGCACGTAGAGTGAGCTTCCATAGGTATAGTTTTGCACAGCCCACCTAAAACCAAATTATAATTTCAGAGAATCGAATCTCTTTGAGAAAACTTCCCACAAAGACACTACTTGACTCGTTTAAATTATCTACCGCTAGCTTCCGCTCAGAAAATTTCAACAAAAAAACCATTGATCATGATTTCCTATTGACTCCCCGTATTTCGCAACAAAATTTACCTCACACCAGCAAATTGTTTTCTGATAAGTTTACGATCACAATAGGAAATACTGGCACCATATCGAAGGAGAAATTAGAAATTATGCGAACTAAAAAGTGGCAACACACCCTTTATTCGTCATTAGCACGGAAGAATCCACCGAATCCTCGACGGCGTTTCGGAATACTCGACTCAGCTTCCTCTTCACTTATTTCACGAATGACAGGACCAGTATGACCACCATCAGACCGGTGCGCGCGAGCGGGGCGTCTCAGATTTCTGAAAGGTATAAGTAATAGCAATACATGTATTAGTAACATATTCGTCGTTTTCATAAAAATGTTGCATTGTACACGGACCTCTCCTCTTCCTCGTCATCTTCTTCAGGTAATGTTATGATAGGAGCACTGTCCCTGGATCCGGAACCTCCAGCATCCGCGGAATGATGACGATAACCACCGTGTAGACCATCACCAAGGGCGCGTCTTCCACTGTAAGCAGTGGAACAGTGCACGTAGTAGGAGTACATTTGAAAAAGGACGTGGTATAAACTCACTTATTACTGTACCCCATATTTGCTCTCGCTCTTGACTGGAATTCACGATCAAAGTCCTCTGCAGCAGCTGCAAAAAGTATTTGCGTGCAACACAATGACGAACATAGAAATGAAAATGGTCATGGCTGGGGAAGGTGTCTTCAAAACCACCACCCACACGTTACAGTTTTTTTTATCCTCCCAGACAAGTCTGGTACCAATTAACCGACCCCGGAGGGATGGAAGGCTTGGTTGGCCCGGGCGACTCACGACCCAGGATTTGATCCCCGGACCGCTCGCGTGGTAAGCGTGCCACTTGCCACAGAAGAAAAAGAGACGAATGCGTGAACTCAAAGTGGAAGATGTATAGAGAATACCATGCAAGCGGTTCTAGTAAATAAATCGGACAATAATGCTGGACTACGCTATCACTCCGTTATTTCTTGTGGTTGGAGAGAACTCATAAAGCATTTCTGTGCATTAGGGACGTGAAAATAAGACCTCTTGCAAAAAAATGTGTCCTCAGCCAAACTGCGCGCTTTAGAAATAGGTTTTTAATACAGCAGTTGATGCAAATTGAAGTGCTCAACACAAAGCTGGTATCATTACCCGTGTTTTAGCAAGAGACATGCTGAATAAGTGCTCATACCGCCTAGATAGGTGTCAGTCTTGCAATCACAATCGCGAAATCTGAGGGTTATGTCATATTTTACAATTTGGGGTGGAACCCCAAATTGGAATCGATCGCGCTATAATGCGACTGCACGACCGATAGGGGTCCGCTCTACACTCAAACTGCTAACCGAACTGCGCATTATGACCGAACCCTGACAACTACCTTTCACTTGTAAACAGAGGAGGATGCTGGTTAGCACAAGGAACGGACCAAGGCTAGTGTTCTGCACTGCATGCTGTTAAACGCATCGTAGCACAACCACTGCTCTGTATTTAATGCCTCTAGAACTTGTTGGAAAACGTCGTCTAGACTCAAACCAAGACTCTAGATATGCAATTACAGTATCCACGATGGTTGCATTTGGCCAAAACTTGAGATCCAACATGAATCTGCTTTCAAAACTAACATTCGTCGAGATTCACAAATCGCTGCTGACGACGAACATTGCCGTCTTTGTCCCGTTTCTTCTCAATAATGTGTGTTCGATCGCCTATTGTGTGACCGATGGCCATTTCCTCTCGTGTACCGTCACGAAGTGATCTATAGCAGGAATTTTTGGAAAAATTAACCAGAAAGGTCAGGAATATAGCAGTCAATTACCTCCTCGTCTCCTTCACATCGCCACTTTTTCGTACAGAATTTTCTACAACGCGAGGTTGTCCGTCGCCACCAAATGTCACCATAGTTGACTGTGAGTAAACATGAGAATTCGGATCGTTCATAGCGCGCTCTTGCAAGTCCTCCTGCAAGGGAGAAATAAAATCTTAAGTAGATGATGATGCTATGTGAAAGACATAAGAGACAACCATTACTGAGAAAATGTTGCCAAATCCACGAAATGGGTCGAATGGTCGAGCGACTTGGCGATAATGAGATGGTGGCGGAGGACCCTGAGAGAGAGCCATTAAAAAATAGCAATGTAAAAAGTTAAACATTCGTTGATGTTCTGCTCAGTTGCCACATTCCTTGCGCGTCCAAACTATACAGGAAAACAGGAAATTAAGTGAAGCATTGGAATGTTATGAGACTAATCAAAAATGTCTTTTCATTCTACTACACAAGGTGCTTTTTTTTCCAAAACAAGGAACGTTGAAATTTTTGCAGCAAGGCATGATTAAAAAAGTGAGCGTTTACCTCGAGCATGCCCATTCCTCCTAACATTCCGAATGGATCCATCATGGAGTTCATCATGCGATCCATTTCTTGAAACTGACGGTGCATAGCCCTGAAATGGTGGGTACCTGGTAGAACTGCAACTTATTTCTCTGCACACAGCAGCCAAGGTATGCATGCATATACATCTCTCAAGATCCTAATTTTAACGGAAATGGTTGGATCACTGCGCAAAGCCGTTTTGTGGCCAATCGCTACAACCTGGTTCCCATCCTTTTAACCAGGTAGTCGTATGCAAAAGCTATGACTCCAAAAAAAGTACACGATGTATTTGGCAGTCTGTCAAGGATTGTACAAGCATCAGTTGTAATGCTTGTGCAATTCTCCCTTTGAACGCTTTTCTATCTTCTGGCAAATCTCTTTCCTGGGACAAGAAGGTGGGCGAGAATCATAGAGCTGTTCTGTATATGCCAATACGACCAATACGTTGGTTCTGATTACAAGGTGGAGGTAGAGAGAGTAGAACACTCAACCCTACGCTGCGTCATTGATTGAGATACCTCTAGCTCTCAACACCTACACACTACCCTTCTCTTCATCCAAACCATCCTTCTACTATATAAACCGCTAACTAGGTAAGTCGGTGGCCCCGCCGAACCTGTGGTTGATCTAGCCCGGCAAAATGAACGTGAAAAGTAAAGTAATGGAACGAACAACATTACGAAGCACGGTCCAAACGTTCGAACCCGCATTGGCCGATGTCAGAGTCTGCGATTGGAGCGATCGGTCAAATGCCAATCGCGCGACCATCGCGCGATTCGCGCGACGATCGCGCGATTGACATGAGTCCCATCATGACCAATCGCTCCAATCGCGCGATGGGCGCGATCACTCCCGTTGTGGCAGGGCGAGCGCCCCAACTCCACTCCGCCCCCAATAAATCGGCCCGCAACGAGGGAAGCTTATCGCAGGCGTTCAAACTTCACACACAGGAATACATAGAAAAACGCAGGTGGATAGGATAATTGGGAAAGCAGCAGAGTGACGGAAGAGAGGTTTGCAGAAAGGTTCCAGAGAACAAAGTCGAAAGAGCAAAGGGGACTCAACTGGGGGATGAACAATCGTTTGAATGGGACCGGAGATTCTCTGAATGCCAGAAATTTTCTCCAGCCCAATGAAATCGCTGGTCGGAGCAATGATGGTGAAGCTGGGTGACATCATCGACCTGGCCAGCTGGCCATCTGGGCTGGTTTTGCAGCTCATTTACATCGGGTCCCAGCTCATTATTCACTTCTGCGACATCGTAATTAATAAGGACCACCATAAAGAAGAATCATGCGCTACAAA